AATTAGACTTATTAATGGGCAAATAATTGAACAGGATAAAGAAGTTTGCATAATGTTGAATAATCAGGCCTATTGCACTTTTATCAGGCTATGAGATAGTAAAAGTTTGTTTCTTGATGCTTATTGTTAATATATACTGTAGATCTTCATTCTTAGAGAACTGCAGAGATTCTTAGTTCTATTTATCTTCATGGAACAAATAATTTATTTGACATATTTTTAAGATATTTATATTCCCTCAAAATGAAATTAACAAATATACTAAAAATATTGCTAGATGTATGGTTTAGAAAATGTAAGTCTAATACCTGGCTCAGCCTCTCCGCAATCACAAACAAGTCAGTGGGTCTTAGTTTCAAAGTCTGTAGATCAGAAATAAAGTGTCATTCCAATTTAAAGTACAGGACAGGACTGCAATAGAGATCAAGTTAGAAAGCCCACCCTGCCAGTACATCACTGCTAAGTGAATGAACTAACAAATGGACATTCGAAAATCATTAAGCTTCTAACAAGTAAAGATGCTGTTTGCATTAGCACATCCATGGGATTCGGATTCTCAGAAATTTAAAGAAAATGAGTTCTGGGATGTGTGTGTGTGTGTTGCAGTATGTTTATGACTTATTTTTGACCCCATGTAGTTTAATTCCCTAAAAGGTAAGAGGCATATAAAACTTCTTTTTCCAAAGCCAGAGTCTCTGAAATTACATAAGGAAAAAAGTGATATAAAAAACTGAGAAAATGTTCCATTCACTTCCTTTTAAAATTAAGAATAAGAAATGCAAAACTTTTTAAAGAAATGTAAAACAAGAGGCAGCAAAAAAAAAAAAATAGTGGCAAGAAAATGGAACTCAGAGCCAGGAGACTTGAGCTGTGGCCGCAGCAGCAGCTGCCAAATAAGAGGAGCACAGAAGAGACATTCAGAGTTTCTTCTAAGTCAAGAATCATAGTTCCAAAAAGTCTAAAATAGACTTTCATTTTTCTATGTTAGAGACAGTTAAGGAAAGGGGAAAAACAAGGTGGAGAATGACAGGTGAACAGGAAGTGAAGGAGCTAGTGGTAAGAATAAACAGTGAGATCACGGACAGGCATACAAACTATTCCCCTTCTCTCACCTCACCTCCAAAAAGAATCATGTGAGTAAAAATAAATAAGCACACACTACTAAAAGGACATCCAGACATGCAAATAAATAAGCTCACAGAGATTTTCATGGGTAATGCTCTTATTTTGTTCATCTTGAATCTTGTGAACTAAAAAAATATTTTTACATTATTATAGTGCTGAACTTTTGTGTTACAAGACATAAATGGAACAAGACAAAGCAGGCACCTCAGGTTGCAGATTACCTACTTCTCCAATGTGCTACTCAGGTTTTGGGGCAAAATGCCACCTGTTAAATTGAGATCTCACATCCCTGAGCCATTTCCAACTAAGCAAACAAATATCAACTTCCCTAAAATAGAATTGTATCTCAAGAATGTTTTTATGAGCTTAGGCTTGGCATTACTTTGCTTCCAGATAGGCAGATTTTAAATATTTAAACCTAATAGTTACCAATTATTTGAAGTATAAATCCCACATTGAGATCTGAAGTCCATATTTGGGGAATTCTTACTAATCTCCGAATTGTGCAGAAGGCACTGGATAATGTAACTCCTGCATTCATCTCTGAGTCCTTCCTGGATAAAGTCCATCCAATGCTTTTCTAGCTTTTCTTAACTCTAAGCCCCTATAGGAATTTGTAGAATGGTGAGCCTTTTTCTTCGGTCTAATCAGCATACAGAGGAGTAAAGGGGTCTCTACCAACCTTGCAACTGCTGTTGCAGAATGGTAAATAACCCCATCCATGGTGAAGACAGCTCAGATCAGCAAGAATGCATAGCACAAAAGCTCCCAAACTTTACTGCCCATCTACTAGGAACACTGAAAAGTTCTATGAATGTTCATATCTGTAAAGAGAAAGCTATTATTCAGATATATCTTCACAGGACTAGGGGAAATTTTTACTTATACACAGAAAGAGGTAGAAAGAAAATTATGTATGTTGTAAAAATAAATAGCACAGCAGATACAAGAGCACTTTTAGCTGTTTGGAGGATGGGGAATATATCAGTTCTGTTCAAGTGACTGACACATTTAAGAACAATAATGAGCAGTGGTTATCAGTTTATAAAATGTTGTTAAGATAGTATTTCATTGGCCTTATACCAAGATGTGAAATAGAGAGATCATTTTAAAATTTAATTTGACCGATGAAGGGAGATTAAGTAGGAGTGACTTGACCGAGGTCAAACAGCTAGCTAGTGGCAGAATATGTCCCCTCAGAGGAAGTCCCATGCAATGATTGCACACCAGTCTGCCTATGCAGTTATTGCCCATCTCCTTTTCATTCTTTTTTTCCCTCCAAGTGAATCTTGCTTGGTAGGAGGCCTTTAATCAACAGTCAAAGCTATTTCTCAGTTATAGTTTTAGTCTATCAACTGACATAAAGAGCTTAAATCTATCTCAAAATTTCTCTTCAGCCAGTATATGTGAACTCCAGATTTGTTGAAGCTTTGAATCGCCCAAGCCCTAAACCTTTAAACACCACTATTTAAAAAGATTGCTACTTCTCCTTGTCACCATACCACAGGCAAGTCCCTTGAGGTTTTCTTTAGAAAGTGCACCACCGTCTTTATCAACGGTTCCTATTCATCTCTGGTGTTTCTATGGTGTTCTTCATTACGGTGTCTATTGTTGAGAACATTACAGACCTTTAAAGTATTCTTGAGGTGATTTCTTTCCAGTAACAATCTTTGAAGTCGTTCAACTCGGAGAATGTGAGAGCAGGCCAAGGTAATTTCAAACAGCAAAAAAAAGTTCAGTCTCCTTCTTATTGCTCAGGTTCTTTTATCGATGTTATTTCTGTTTTATTTTTCCTTAAATTCCTAAAGAATAAACCAAGATGGAGAGGTTTTTCGTGTCTCCCCTTTCACCCTCCTTCTATATGTTCTCTTTTGGACAGAAATCTTACCATTTAGACTCAGGGCATTCATTAAGCTTGTTGTACATCCCAATAGAAATAATTCCACTGAATATGACCATCCTAAACTACGTTGAGCCATAGGACCCTTACCCTCTAGAAATTAGAAGATACTGGAGGAAGGAAGAATTGGAGAAATGGATTCTAATCTAAGTTAGTTCTACATAGTAGACATCTATGTATATAATTCCTTATTTTGAATCCCCAAATCTGAGCAACATAATCCAACACTGACTTCATCCTCAGACAGTGGAAGAAGCAAAAAGAGAAAGTCTGTGCTATTCCATAGCAACTGTATCCAATAACCTAGCTCTGGGCAATGGAGAGGAAAAATTGTATCCAGGAAATGTGGTGAGCATCTGCTGTGTGCCATGTGTTCGTGGTAAGAGACTAGTTCAGGTGCATGATGATATTTAATCCTCATGACTACTCAGACAGGTTGGTATTATTTACCCCCATTGTATAGAGATGAAACTAAAGAGGAAGGATAATGGACTTATGTCAAATCATACATAGTAATGCTTTCAGGCATGTCCAATCTATGGGCCCCCAGGCCACATTTGACTGAGAATAGTTATAAATACAGCACAACACAAAAATCATAAACTTTCTTAAAAATTAATTATGAGCTTTTTGTGAATTTTATTTGTAGCCTAACTGCATATATCTCAAGTGTGAACTGTACAGACCACAATGTAGTATTCCAATGTCAAAGAGTTGTACATAACTGCCTGGGACCTATTTTGTTTCCTTTGTGTGTAATATAAGAAAATATTACAAACTGAATAATTTATAAAAAATATAAATTTATTTCTAACAGTTCTGGGGGCCTGAAAAGTCCAAAATCAAGGTATCAGCAGGTTCAGGTAAAAGCCACTCCCTGATTCCCAGAATGGCACTTTGTTAGAGGTAATAAATGCTATGTCCTTGCATGACAGAAGAGACAGAAGCAGCAAACCCTTTACTGGTGGGTGGATGTATTTATTGACATTTGCAGGGAATGGAACCTGAAGTCTTATGCATGCTAGCCAAGCATTCAACTACTGAGCTACATCCCTAGAACTCAATTCCTTCTACATAGCACTAATCCATTAGGGAAAAACCTCATTATCGCCTTTAAAAAAAATCACACCTCTTAATACTGTTATCGTGAATCTGGGCCTTGAATTTTGGAGGGGACACAAACATACAAATTGTAAAAGAAGCCAACTCCAAACAGAGTCTTCTGGCCTCCACAGTATAGAATTCTGACTTTATTGACTTGCACAGTCTATTGGATTAAGAGGGTGTATGTTCAGATGATACTGAAAAAGCATCAGAAGTTAAAGAGGATGGAGATATTATATTTGAGCTGGCTTATGTATTTAACAGGGTGATATCACACTTGTTTTTTCACTGTCTCTGAAGCCTATACTGATAGGACTAATAAAATGCCATGAGATGAGAGGAGGGCATGGATAGGCAGAGGCACACTCAATATTTGTCCACATCCTCTTAGGGATGTTGTTACACTTATAGAATTATCTATATATTAATAATATTATCTATATTGTTAAGTACTTGTGGGTTGGAAGTGTAGCTGTGTTGATAGAGTGCTTACCGAGCATGCATGAAGGCCTGAGTTCTATTCCCAGGACCACACAAAACCTGGTATGGTGGTGAATGCCTGGAATTCCAGTGCTCAGGAGTGGAGGCAGAAAGATCAAAAGTTCAAGGTATTCCTTGCCTACATAGTGATCTTGAGGCCAGCCTAAGTCACAGGAGACCCCCTCAAAAAACAAGAGCTTGCATTAATCTTCTGGATTCTGTTTGATTTTTAGGATCTCAAGAGTATGTTCAAGTCATTTATGTGTTTTTATCAAATACAAACAGAGATCGGGGAAGAATAAACCCACTCACTATCCATTGACAGTTTCAGAGCCAGATGCTCTAATGGTACAAGCAAGCTTAGAAAATCTCTTCTTACAAGCCTGACGTAATGGAAGTTTCCCCAAACCAGCCAGCATCTAATAAAACCAGTGCAAAGAGCAACAACTCTGCATTTTTCTACTTTGAGTCCTGCCAACCTCCTTGGCTAGCTTTACTCTTCCTACTTGTAGCCTATACTGTGGTTTTAATCTTGGGCATTTTTGGAAACCTCTCTCTTATCATCATCATCTTTAAGAAGCAGAGAGAAGCTCAGAACGTCACCAACATACTGATTGCCAATCTTTCTTTCTCTGATATCTTGGTGTGTGTCATGTGTATCCCTTTTACTGTCATCTATACTCTGATGGACCACTGGGTATTTGGGAACACCATGTGTAAGCTCACTTCCTATGTGCAAAGTGTCTTTATCTCTGTGTCCATATTCTCCCTTGTATTAATTGCTATTGAACGATATCAGCTGATTGTGAACCCCCGTGGCTGGAAGCCCAAGGTATCTCATGCCTATTGGGGCATCATCTTGATTTGGCTCATTTCCCTTCTATTATCTATTCCCTTATTCCTGTCCTACCATCTCACCAATGAGCCCTTTCACAATCTCTCCCTCCCCACTGACATCTATACCCACCGGGTAGCCTGTGTGGAGATCTGGCCTTCCAAAATGAACCAGCTCCTCTTTTCCACTTCCTTGTTTATGCTCCAGTATTTTGTCCCTCTGGGTTTCATCCTCATCTGCTACCTGAAGATTGTTATCTGCCTCCGTAAAAGAACAAGGAAGGTAGACAGGAAGAAGGAAAATGAGAGCCGGCTCAGTGAGAACAAGAGGATCAATGTGATTTTGGTTTCCATCGTGGTGACCTTTGGAGCCTGCTGGCTGCCCTTGAACATCTTCAACATCATCTTTGACTGGTATCATGAGGTGCTGATGAGCTGCCACCACGACCTGGTATTTGTAGTTTGCCACTTGGTTGCTATGATTTCTACATGCATAAATCCTCTCTTTTATGGCTTTCTTAACAAAAATTTCCAGAAGGACCTGATGATGTGTATTCACCACTGCTGGTGTTTTGAGCCACAGGAAAGATATGAAAATATTGCTGTGTCCACTATGCACACAGATGAATCCAAGGGATCTTTAAGACTGGCTCATATACCAGCAGGTATATAGAAATGAGTAACCAAACCGAAGCTCTTCTGGAATGGAAGAAGTAGAGGTGAAGGCAGGGAATAGGGCACAATTCAGAAGAAGCCAGAGCTAAACGCACAGCATCTTTAGTCCTAATTTGACTCTAAGCTAAGCCTGTATGCCTCATTCTTCAACACAGCAGGAAGAGACATACAACCACTCTTTCTTTTTTTCTTAGGAGAATAAATCTAATATCCTAAGCAACCTAGAGTTTGTGGTGGAAAACAAAAATGAAAAAGCAGATAAGGAAACAAGAAGGGATGGCTAGGGAGCAAAGTTCTCAGATTCTGTTATTTACTGGACCATCCACATAACTTTTAGTTCATAGAATAAATAGCCAGTAAAAAAAAAAATCTATGCCTCCTTAGCATTGAAGCAATTACTTTCAGATGTGGAAATTGTAACTTTCAACCAAGTAATTATTCAATTAATTAGCTAAATCAGAAAGTCTTTTGTCATAACTTTTTAGTTAACTGATTGTGTCTGGATTAAATTTGAAGAGATGTTTTAACATTTAAACATTGTAGTTGCATTGAATTTCACTGTCTGAATCAGATCTTTAGTTTATTATGACTGTATACTTCCTTTACTATTAATGCTATGATAACTGACCACAAAATCTTTAGCCCTCTAATTATGTTAGGCATCATTTTAACTAATGACTGACCTATACATAGAGTTCATTACAAAATGGCCTTTTAATCTGATTTCTTATGTATGTTAAATAGGAGTTGTAACTTTGTAAACTTGGAGATTTTATTAGTAGTGACTTTATAATTAGCTCCATATTTTCAGAAAATTATCATATATAACATTATCTAAATATTTTTTAAACCTGTCACTACATAGTAGAATCGGTTAGATTGGTTTTGGCAAGATAACTAACCTACTGTTCCAAGAGCTATTAGCTTAGAAAATTTTAATGCATCACATAGGGCCTTAATATTTCTTTAAACTCTCCTGATACTTATTAAATTTGAGCTTCAGTTTATTCATATTGTAAAAATATTGTTGTATATTCTTTTGAATAAATATTTTCTGAATATCTGTGATGATTTTTTCCCTTGAAATATTCCTCTTTCCCCCTCTCTCCTTCCTTCCCTCCTCTCTCATTCTCATCAGAATTTCTCTTCTCTGTCATTTGGGGGATAAATGAGTCACAAAAGCAGGAGCATCATATTCATCTGACATAACAGCTGCAGTGACTTCCCCACTGGGACCTACAACTTCCTCTGCCACTAGGGCATTAGACTGGCTTGTAGTACCAGGGATTTTCCTCCCAGAAAATTGGGCTTTAAATCCAATTGGAAATTTGTTGGTTGCACATACACTGTTACACTGGCAGGCGTATACTGCTTGGCATGTTGATAGTTCAGCAAGCTTTCTTTTGTCTCAAATCAACTTTCATTACACTGAACTTTTCATATGTCCTATAGTTCAGAAAGTCACACACAACTGGAAAATTAGAAAAAAAAATTCACATTTTAGCAAGAGCTTTGACACATTACTAGAATGACCTTGAAATGAGACTGTCTGTAAACAAGAAAAAACAGAAGCAGAAATGAAAGTCCACAGAGAGCCAAAAATCTTTACATATTAACTCTGTAATTGCAGTTTTAGATAGCAGCTCCATCCCACCCTGATCTGATCTCTCACCATGCACAAAACTTAGTTCCCAAAGGATCAAGGAACTCAACATAAGACCCAATACCCTGAATCAGACAGCAAAGAAAGCAGGGACTATGTTGCAACTTATAGGCACAGGAAAGGACTTTCTGAACAAGACTCCTATAGCACAAGCTTTAGGTCCAGCAATTGACAGATGGGACCTCCTGAAACCAAAAAGCTTCTGTACATGAAAGGACATCATCACTCAAGTGAAGATGCAACCTACAGAATGGAAAAAATATCCTTACCAGCTATGCCTCTGACAGAGGGTTAGTATCTAGAATATACAAAGAACTCAAACAAATAAACATAAAAAAAACAATTAAAAATTAAGTAAGGAGCTGAACAGGGAATTCTCTAATGATGAAACACAAATGTCTGAGAAATACTTTTTTAAATGTTCAACATCTTTAGCCATCAGGGAAATGCATATTAAAACCACTTTGAGATTTCATCTTACCTCTCTCAAAATGGCAAAGATTCAAAAACAAACAATGAGAAATGCTGGCAAGGATGTAGAGAAAGGGGAGCTCTTTCCACTGCTGGTGGGAAGCAAACTGGTTCAGCCACTATGGAAATCAGTGTGGAGATTCCTCAAAAACTTCTCAATTGATCTATCATATGATCCTACCATACCACTATTGAGCATATACCCAAAAGACTAAATTCTACTACAGAAATACTTGTTCATCTATGATTATTGCTTCCCTTTCCAAAATAACCAGAAATAGGAAACAATCTAGATGTTCATTAACTGATGAATAGATAATGAAGGTATGGCACCTATACATAGTGCAGTATTATTCAATTCTTTAAAAATGAAATTTTAGGGCTAGAAAGAGGCTCAGCAGTTAAGAGCACTGGCTGCTCTTGCAGGCAACCCAGGTCTAGTTCTGAGCACTCACATGGCATTTAGCAACCATCTGTAACTCCAGTTCCAGGGGATCCAATACCCTCTTCTGACGTCCAATGGCACTGAATGACATTAATTCAATTACATGTAGGTAATACATTCATTAATAATAATTAATAATAATAAAATGAAATTTTGAAATTTGCAGGTAAATGGAACTAGGAACAGTCATCCTCAGTGAAGCAACCCCGATTCAGAAATATAAATGTCATATGTTCTCTGTCATAGCTAGAGTCTAGCTTTAAAATCTTAGAAATGTGTATTTCAATTAGAAAACTCATCAATGTCACGAAACTAATAAGCATCCATAGGTGAGTCAGGGGGAAGCTTCCTGTGAGGGGTTGTAGAACACAATGATATGAATTGGGGAAAGGGGAATATTAGACTAGGAAGGGTTAAGCAGGGTGGGGAATGGAGGAGACAGGGTAGATGAAGGAGTACAAGGAGAGATAATTAACATGAAAGGCCTTTAGAAAAAGCCATGTGGAAATCTACCACTATAGAAACTTCTTAAAACATACATATATATATATATATATATATATCCTTGCCAGATCTCCAGTCATTCTCTTGTTTGCTGTGTCTGCTTGAAGATGTGAAAACTTAGCTTCCCTCCTCTTCCAGCCACTTCTGCCATTATGCCTCCCCACAACGATGGACTGTTGCCCCTTGGAACCTTAAGCTCAAATAAACACTTCCTTTTTATAAGTTGCTTTGGTCAGTGTTTCTATCACAGCAATAGAAAAGTAACTAATACACCATCCAATTCTGGTGGGTAACCAAGGGCGGGGACAATGACCTTTATGTGTGTGTGTGTGTGTGTGTGTGTGTGTGTGTGTGTGTGTGTGTATGTATAAGTGTATTACCTGCATGTATGTAAGTACACCTATTTCCTGTAGTGCCCATGGAGGTCAGAAGAGGGCATCAGATCCCCTGGAACTGGAGTTACAGATAGTTGTTAGCCCCCATGTGGGTGCTAGGAATTGAATCTAAGTCTTCTATAAGAGCAGCCAGTGGTCTTAATCACTGAGCCATCTCTCCAGCATTAAATAGCCAGTATTATTTAAGATTCTATGGCCCCTCTGGTCAACAGCTTCTAGTGAGAGAGAGACCATTCCTGGCATTGAGGGAGTTTTGTTTTTTGTTTTTTTTTTCATTAGTTTATGATGTCTAGAAAGGGGCAATGTGTTTCTGTTATAGAATAACTCCTTTTAATCTCTTTTTATTATATATATAAATGTGGGACATTTTCATTCAAACCACCACATTCCACCCCCTATCCCCCATAGGCTCCAAGTATTTGGACATTTTGTCCCCAGTTGATGGGGCTGTTCCGGGAGGTCTTAGAAGGTGTAGCTTTCTAGGAGGAAGCATGTCACTGGGGGCAGGCTTAGAGAGTTCTTAAACCTTGCCAGATCTCCAGTCACTCTCTTGTTTCCTGTGTCTTCTTGAAGATGTGAGAGCTTTGCTTCCCTCCTCCAGCCACCTCTGCCACCATGCCTCCCCACCATGATAGAATCTTGCCCCTTGGAACTATAAGCTCAAATAAACTCTTCCTTCTATAGGTTGCTTTGGTCGGTGTTTCTATCACAGCAACAGACAAGTAACTAATTCAGATGGTAAGACCCTATTGCTGAAGACACTATATACACGAGCTGTAGAACTAAGGAGAAATTATGCTGGTACTGACTTCAGAGCCTCATCTCTATTGGCTAACATTCATAGTGTTGGAAGGTGCTATGCATTCTACTAAGAGGAAAAAAAATCATCAACCTTATCCAGATGTGAATGCTATGAACTACAACAACAACTGGTCTAACAAAATATGCCTACTGGTGCTACAGTGGCACAAATATTGTGGAAATAGCCAACCACTCTTTAATTAGATTTAAGGTCCACTTCCTAGAATGGAGCCCAAACCTGACATTAATATCAGTCTTAGGAACCTGAGGCTAGTGAGGTCACAGGACATAGGGGAGAACATAACACTAGTTTTCTAATAAAAAAATTATCATATTAAACTGATTCTTAATGACTTGTTTTTTAAAACATTTTTATTTAATTTATTTTTATTTTATGTGTGTGTGTGTGTGTGTGTGTGTTATGCCTGCATGTATGTAAGTATACTCATGTTGTATAGTGCCCTCAGAGGCCAGAAGAGGATGTTGGATCCCCTGGAACTGAAGTTACACAGTCATTAGTCACCATGTGGGTACTGGGATTCGAACCCCAGTCTTCTGCAAGAGTAGCCAGTGCTCTTAAGCACTGAATCACCTCTCCAGCACCTTAATGACTTATTGTTATACACATGAATTAATACATTTCTCAATTCTCACCACAAAAGTTTCCTTATGCAACAGACGGTGATTAACACAGAAACCCAAAACTGGCCAATGTGCAA